GTGAGGAGAGAACACAATGGTAAAGTGGGTGAGGACAGAACACAAAGGTAAAGTGGGTGAGGGGAGGGAAGAACACAATGGGAAAGTGGGTGGGGGGGAGAACAGCAAAAGGGAGGTGAGGGGGAGAACACAATGGTAAAGTTGGTGAGGGAGAGTAAAGTGGGTGAGGGGAGGACACAATGGTAAAGTGGGGAGGAAGAACACCATGGTAAAGTGGGTGAGGCAATGGGTGGACACAATGGTAAAGTGGGGGAGGGGAGAACACAATGGTAAAGTGGGTGAGGAGAGAACACAATGGTAAAGTGGGTGAGGGGAGGACACAATGGTAAAGTGGGGAGGAGAGAACACAATGGTAAAAGTGGGGAGGGAAGAACACCATGGTAAAAGTGGGTGAAACAATGGGTGGACACAATGGTAAAAGTGGGGGAGGGAGAACACAATGGTGGAGGAAGAAGAAAAAAAGTGGGTGAGGGGAGAACACAATGGTAAAGTGGGGGAGGGGAGAACAGCAAGGGAGGTGAGGGGAGAACACAATGGTAAAGTGGGAGAGGGGAAAACACAATGGTAAAGTGGGTGAGGGGAGGATACAGTGACAAAGTGGATAATGTGTGGTGATGACACAGTGGGAATGGAAAGATTTAGTGTGACAGGTGAGATATCTGGAGGACACAGGGAGAAAGGACTGGCATTCTATTTTGGAGGTTGGGGTGAATGGGAGGGGGTGGATTAAACTGTTATCACCATAGGCAGTACAGCAGCAGATGGTGGAATGGAAGCAACATAAGCATCAATCAGGCAGAACCCTTCCACTGTGCCCCATGGGTCCTCCTCCCCAACCCCAACAGCTGGTCCCACCACTAGGCAGTTTCAGCCAATCTGGAGGCCAGTAAGCGCATTTCATGGGTCAACTGCCTGTTGGAATAACACCCCCATAAGATGCTGGTCACACACTCCATAACCAATAACTTTGTCTACAGAACATACACCGGAATAATCTTCACTGACACCAAAACTTTCTTATCATATAATTAATCTAGTAATCATCAAAATTCTTAAAAACATCAAAACAACACATTAGTTACACTTGTCATGAAAATTGTTGAAAGAGATCAGACACGTTTATTAACCATTTGTGAAAAAAGCCTCCCTTTTCCTATGCCCACTTGCCTTACAGCATATAAAGCTATCCAGCAAGTTGGTGCCTGCAAAGAAAGTTTTCATCAACTAAGGAGAAACTGATGTAAGAAGCTCCAAATGATGTGTTTATCTCACAGCCAGACATTATCAGTTCAGAGCAACAGCAAAAAGCAGAATTTTTTGTGCACATTTCTTATCAGTGAAGATAAACACTGGTTCCAGGACCAAGCAAACAGTGCATAATTCACGCAACCAGATGCCGACAGAAAACATCCAGTGTTCATAAAACAGAGACTCTGATACACCCATCCATCAGAGATACAATTGCTGAAGGAATCTGTTCCATGTCTGGGACATTATCATTCGTATCATCACCCCAGGCAGAAACACCTGATTCCGTTCACACTGTCCGCGAGGTAGCAGCCTAGCAGGGATATCATTAGAAGTTGAGTTACCTCACACATGATCTATCGTGTACAAACATTGGTACACACCAGTCACTTCTCAAGTCAGTGACTGCAGCACGCGTTACCAGCCAGGGACTGCATTTACCATCACCGCAGCAATAGGTACAACCTGTCCACCCCACTGTGCCTGTGTGTAAACTCTGCTACTGATACCAAGGCCAACTGGTGCCTGTTGAGACAGCTATTGTTGGCTATTGTTGGCATTTTAACCACTTCAATCGTATGGAGATTCCAGCTTCCCTGACCCACAAATAGCAAGACGTTATTCAACAACCGAGTTTTGTACATTGCTAAGAATTTTGTCAACGTGAACATGTATGCCACCTCTTTCTGTTTCTCTTACAGCTTCAGCCTGACTCAATTTTTTAATATGCATTAAAATTTGAAGGAACCCATTTCCTGTAGGTTCTGCTTCGAAGAACTAATGAGTTCTGCTAACACCATCAGTTGAATCTTGATCAAACAGGATTCCAAGAAAGTGCCATACACATCAGAGAGAGTTTAGATCCCCCTTTGAACAGTTTTTTCATGTTAGTACCTGTCTGTTTGATCAGGTTGATGTTAGAGGAGATGCAGGTAGACAGAGATTATTAACCTCGTGTGTTTCCTTTTCATTAATATCATATATTAGGAATAAAATTCCAAAGGCTCTCATAATACAATTTTTATTCCTAATAAATGATATTAATGATACGGAAACACACGAGGTTAATAATCTCTTTATCATATCATTCTTAAAATTACTCTTGAAAAAGAGAAGCAAATCCTACATGAATTTATATGAAGAGAATCGAGCATTCGAGTAAAAATACTTAGCGGTACACCAAGGTGAAGGTCATTCATGACAATGGCATATGGTTGAGACTAGTATAAATATAACTCTTGCTTAAAATAAGATCTTTCTGCTTAAAAAGAACAACAAAATCTAGCAGTTTTCAACAGAACATTTGTGCATTGACCAAATTTGCATCTTTATCAGATTTGGACACCAAGTTTATCAGATTGCTTTATTGCACCGACAACACCCTCCATATGATAAAAGACATTTATCACTTGTGTGACTCAATCATCAAGGTTAAGCTGGTGTGGTGCTGACAAACCTATACACATCATCACAGTGAACTGGGATTCAAACCCACAACAAAGTCTTCTGGCATGGCTAAGGGATGCCATCCTGCCCAGCAGTGCGCAGCATCTCACACCACTGGGCCACTTATGATACCAACTTTGTAAGGCACGAAGGGAGGATGCTCTCCTTATATACAGCTGGACACCATATAATGCTTTGGTTTGTTGTTGAACAACACAGGTATGAAAATATTCATATCTGGACCAGACAATCCAGTGAAAGACATAATGAACATAAGTCCACACATTTGGGATATGCTGACATTCATCAAGCAAGTCTGCAAACCTGACCATTTTAAAACAACAAGCATGGGTTGCTGAAGATCAATTCTAGCCTGTACCATTCCAGCGGATGATACCACAAACATCTTTGGATTAGATATCTATAGGTATTTTCCAAATTACTATTCTGTCATTCCAAAACATTAATCAAGCTGTGGATGGTATATGTCACATTGTATTCAATTTCAACTTATTGAAGGAATAACTTGTCATTAATTTATGCTGCAATGACGGATGGACCTGTGAGGGTACCGGTAAACCTTCACCAGATGTGAAGACTCCCAGAAAACAAGAGTCATCAAATTTATCCCCTTAAGTCTCACAGAACAAGCTTCACTGACTCGATCCCACAAACAGCACAAGTCAAACTTCCCAAGTACCCACTTAAGTGTTGATGTCTCATGTAACTATTGCTCGTGCTTCTGAACAGGTCTTGGTGTCATTCACGTCATTCAAAGGTAAACTTGATTCCACGAAAATGACAAAATTTTAAAATGCTTATCTATCAAATTTATAGCTACATTTGTTTGATATTTGGACAGACAAGCTGATGAACATGTTGATCCCTATATCCTCAACAGTCCAAGTCTGTGGGATACAAATAACATAAACTGATGTACAAAAACACCATTGGTTGTCATGATGGTTCAGCAAAGTGAAGCATGGGCATCCTCGGTTATCCAGTGTATTTTACCATCAGCCAGGATAAATACCCAGACTCATCTGTCACCTTCCTAGATAAATACCAAAACCCATTTGTCACCATCCAGGATAAATACCAACACCCATCTGTCACCATTTGGATAAATACTAACACCCATCTGTCACCATCCAGGATAAATACCCAGACCCATCTGTCACCTTCCTGGATAAATACCCAAACCCATCTGTCACCATTCAGGATAGATACCCAGACCCATCTGTCACCATCCAGGATAGATACCCAGACCCATCTGTCACCATCCAAGATAAATACACAGACCCCTCTGGCACCATCCAGGATAAATTCCCGCACCCATCTGTCATCTTCATCTCAGACTGGACATCTCTCCCTCAGTTGCTGCTCTGTCTAACAGTGCACAGAATATCTCTCATTGTTGTGGCATACAAAACTCAAAATGGAGCTATGTTGAATGGTGATATCATACCCTTGACAATGGGAGATGATCAGTGATTGGCTTATTCTCTCTGGCTTTCCTTCTGTAAATGTACACTATCAAGTACATTCTTATTAGATTCAACAGCCATGACGATAGCTTCTGTTGGTCGATAGCTTCTGTTGGTCGTAACAAGTCGCTAGTTCCATATGCGAAAATCCAAACACAAAAACAGGAAACTGACATAGATTGACGAAAACATGTTTTACAGTCCTGATAGTGTACATGGTCAGTATCCTGGTTGTCTCTTCCCCGTTTCCGGACACACTCACTGACTGCTGATCAGATCTGTAGCCTGGTGAACATGTTGACACTTCAGAGCAATAAAGACAAAGGATGGATCTTGTTACATGCATGCATGCATGCCCTGGTTAAGTACATGTGTATGTGTGTAACTGGGTGAAGATGTATCTACTGTGAAGATGTATCTAGTGTTAAGATGTACCTTGTGTGAAAATGTACCTTGTACAGCACCGAATCCCCCAGTCATCCAGATATCCTTGTACTAGAGAAGTAAGGTAATCATTTCACACTCATATATATCACCTGATTCTAACCTACATAACACATTTATCCCACACTTCTATCTGAGAGCCCTTCCAATGCAACCTGCACAACTGCAAGTCCGACAGGGCATAATAAATCATATCACACACCTATAACCACCTGCTCCAATTCTCCATAAGACATATATCCCACTAACACCATTGCTATCCTGAATGTCTTCCCAGTGTAAGCTGCAACACTGTGTAAGTCTCAACACTTCATATTACCATATCACACACTAATGCATCACATAACACCATTCTATAAGACATTTATCACTCACCCATACTGCTGTCCTCCCAGTGTAAGCTGCAACACTGTGTGAGTCTGACCATCCATCTCTCTCTCAGAGGCTGCTTCCAGCAGCATGGAGGGGAAGGGGCGGGAATGAGAGCCCGCACGTGGTCATCATCGGTCCAACCCTCATGGTGCAGGAGGAGAAACGTGACACCAGGGGGGGAGGGGGTGATGGGGTTGTCCAGAGCTGTCAGGGAGCCCTCCCAAGTCTGCAGGGAAACAATCATAAAATATCCATAAGTCAATTCTCCATCAATCAAACACATCACTACAAGGACGAGCTACAAATAATTGCTAAATTGCTGAATGCCACACCAGCAATGTTTCAGCAATTAAGGGCAGGTTTTATCAAGACAAGTAATTGGTAAACCCACAGGACACTAATTAGTCCTGACAAACGAACAACAACATGATGATAGGGGTTAACCCTTGCAGGGTCAAGGAGTCCGTGTGATAACAGCACTTTATACACAGGTTATTATCATGGTTATTACAACCATTTCAAAAAGTACAAAACATACAGTATTGTGTAAATGTACTAGTCCCTACCCAATTATCTTACAAGATCAAGATCAAGATCAAATATTTATTGTGCAAACGTTCCATACAGAAACAGTGACAATATTCTATAAACTACATAAACAAGATATATAATGAATCATATATATATGATGAGCAACAAAACATATAATAATACAAATGTGTATAATAATAATAATGGCCTAGGGCAATCAGATCTGCTATATTTGTTTGAAGTTGTACATGTGGTAGCAAGTAATTTCTATACTATTTGGATCATTATTTCTAAAAAGGAGGTTAAATTTGTTAGTGGTAGTAAGTCTGAGAAAGTTATTAATTTTAGAGGAAAGGGAGTTAAATAAGGACTTTCTTGCATCTGAATATTTAGTGCAACACATGATATGGTGTTCTTCATCCTCAAGGACAGAGCATTTATCACACAGACGGTCCTCCAAAGGTGTAGGTGGTCTTGTTCTCCTACCCAGTTCAATTTTTAGTCTGTGATCACTCAGTCTTAGTTTTGTGAAGTGGATACGGTGTGTTTTCATCTTGCAGTGTTGCAGGTATGGTTCAAAGTTGATTTCAGATTTAAATTTTCTATATGTTCTAAGTTTGTTCCTTGAATTTAATGTGTTTGGATTATCTTGAACAGATGAGTGGAACATGTCTGTAAATTTCAATTGGAGGTCCTTCAGTACAGAGGAGGAAGTAAGATTACTTTCCTTGATGTTAAACTTATCTAAGAAACAACTGAGTTTATAGTACCATCCAATTTTGTGTTTGGCAATCTTTATTGATTCATTAAAAGCATGTTTGAAAATGGTATTTGGAGATTGTAAAATATGACTGTAGAATTGAACAATGGATTTAATTACTCTGAATAATAGGGGAAACAAACCAAGCTCTGCTCTGCATGCCCAGTTATGCGTTTGCTGAGAAACTCTCAGAGTACGTTTACAGAATTTCGTTTGTAATTTTTCAGGTGGGAAAGAATCTATATGTCTCAGCAGAACAAAGTCAATTCCCCATACTTCACTGTTATACAGAACAACAGGTTCAACAATTGCCTTGAAAATTTTGCAGCAGACTGTTGGATCTAAATCATCTCCAAACAAATTAGAAGAGTGAACACAGTATGCTCTTTCACCCTTTTTTTTACAAGGGATTCCACACAGTGTTTAAATTTAGAATTTTGATGAAACGTAACACCTAAGTAATTGTATTTGTCTAAGACATTAATATTCTGCCCTGCAACTGACCATCTGAATATTCGATAGTGGGCTTTTGTGCCAAATATAACTACATTAGTTTTTTCAATGTTGATAGTTATTGTCATTGCAGTAATTTGAGAGATTATTGAGAAGCTCTTGGAGTTTGGCTGGTGAATCAGACAGAAGGACCAGATCATCGGCAAACAGATAATGGCATATCCTGAAACCAGCTATGTTAGGCCATTTCTCTCTTTATCAAAATAGGATTCAAGATCATTAATAAAAAAACTAAAGTTTACTTAAGTGTAGGTACTTTTGTGTATTTGATGGGGAAAGAAAAATACGACCCGTTTCGGAGAAATACTCGTCAGTGATAAATGCCTGATTAGACAACTGCAGGCATCTTCAATGTTCTTACAAATAAGGCATAAGTTCCATGTTCTTACAAATAAGGCATTAGTTGACATACATAGGACACATGGAATTCATAGGTATGAGCAGAGAGAACAAAACTGTGAGGAGCTTTTTTCTTGATTTGAAACAACCCATCTTAACCACAGCCAGGGGAATCCTCTCAGTGGCAGATTTCTTTCCTTTGGGAAAAAAATATATGTTTGTTTTTCATTGCCTGGTTATTTTTCAAATTTATTTTGGCCAAGCATTTGGCATCACCATAGCTTGAGAATTAAATCTTGAAAGGTGTTATGTTGTGTTGCCCTGTAAGACTTCTATGTTGGATCTGCACCTCATGAGCATTGTTCTATGCAATGTGGATACCATGACATCTGTCAGCCAAGTCACAGAGCCTCTCCACCCACTTCTGTCAGTCCTGTATTACAACAAGCATGGTTTACTGAAGATCAATTCTAACCCAGATCTCCAAAATGCGTAACATGTGACTGAGGACTCCAGGAAGGGAGGAGGTTATAGAAGAACTTCAGTGGATCATGCTGGGGTGTCATGCTGGGGTGTCATGCTGGGTTTTTCCCACCTCCAACTTTTTTTAAACCACTAACGGACATGAACCAAAAACATTCCATAGTAGCAATGAAATATAGACATGGAACAGTATTCATGACCATTTTGTCTCGTTGTATGACTTGCCTTCACTTATTTTTAAAAAAAATATATTTGGCACACACTTTTAAAATTTTGAGGACCTGACTTCCCCTCACTTAATTTTTAGAATTAAATATTTCCGTCTTTCACACAAGGATGTGATCATCTGTATGAGGATGTAGATTTGCCTCAGCAGCATCACTGACCTCATGGTGTGATGATCAAGTGAGTCGTCATTGTGTAAACACTGTCTGACTATACATTGCCATGCCCAGAGAGATATTACCATAGTTGAAACGCTGAATTAGGGTATTGGGTTTCTGGTCAAAAGGCCATGAATATTATTTCAGTCCTAAACAGAAATAAAAGAAATTTGATCTTCCATTCCATGACACATGTCTTAACAATAGAGATTAGTTATGATGCATATTCAAATGTTATATTACACTAATGGTTGTACCCTAACAAGTGATCAGTGTGGAAATTGCTCCGTGGAGCCTAAGGGCCTTTTTCAGTTGACACATGTCAAAACTAGCAATCAGTGGATTACTACTACTACAACTACTACTACTACAACTACATATGACAGTACTAATGACAGTACTAGTACTACTACTACTGACACTACTACTACCTCTACTACTACTACAACTACATATGACAGTACTAGTACTACTACTGACACTACTACTACCTCTACTACTACTACTACATATGACAGTACTAATGACAGTACTACTACTACTACTGACACTACTACTACCTCTACTTCTACTACAACTACATATGACAGTACTAATGACAGTACTAGTACTACTACTACTGACACTACTACTACCTCTACTACTACTACTACAACTACATATGACAGTACTAATGTCAGTACTACTACTACTACTGACACTACTACTACCTCTACTACTACTACAACTACATATGACAGTACTAATGTCAGTACTACTACTACTAGTACTACTGACACTACTACTACCTCTACTACTACTACAACTACATATGACAGTACTAATGACAGTACTACTACTACTACTGACACTACTACTACCTCTACTACTACTACAACTACATATGACAGTACTAATGACAGTACTACTACTACTACTACTGACACTACTACTACCTCTACTACTACTACAACTACATATGACAGTACTAATGACAGTACTACTACTACTACCACTGATACTACTACTACCTCTACTTCTACTACAACTACATATGACAGTACTAATGACAGTACTACTACTACTACTGACACTACTACTACCTCTACTACTACTACAACTACATATGACAGTACTAATGACAGTACTACTACTACTACTGACACTACTACTACCTCTACTACTACTACAACTACATATGACAGTACTAATGACAGTACTACTACTACTACTACTGATACTACTACTGCTTGTCGTAAGAGGCAACTAAATGGCATCTGGTGACTTGGTTCATGCATATCATCGTTTTCCAACTGAGTTGATCGATGCTCATGAGGTCAATAACTGGATTGTCTGGTCCAGACTCAATTGTATAAAAGACTGCCTTCATACAGCTGGAATATTGCTGTGTATGGCATTAAACAAAAAACAAACAAAACAAATAAAGTTATCAATCCCTGCAATCTAACTGAAGACCCTACATGATAATCATCACAGTGTTTGACCCTGTTGGTTGTGGCACTGGTGGAATATGCAGCAATGTACAACAAGGTAGACTGACATCTTCCACACATCTCACCAGCAACTATGTGAAACAAGGTACCACTTTCCCACACAACATCTATCAGACAACAATGTGAAACAAGGTGCTACTTCCCTCACAGGCAACAATGTGAAATAAGCTACTACTGTCCACACAGCATCTCACAAGCAACAATGTGAAATAAGGTACTACTTTCCACACAACATCTCACAGGCAACAATGTGAAATAAGGTACTACTTTCAACACAACATCTGAAGGCAACAATGTGAAATAAGGTACCACTTCCCACATCATCTTGCAGGCAACAATGTGAAACAAGGTACCAGTTCCCACACAACATGTTACAACCAGTGAATCATACTGGATCAACAATGAAACAAACACATCTTGTTTTAATGGTGTACCATATTGTGTGGTATCAAAGGCTTGGGAAAATAGGCAAGTTTATTTCTTATGCTGTTTACATTTCCCACAAGATTTTCCAGTTCACAGGCTGATAAAGCGTAAACAGAAGATAGGAGGGGGGACATGGAAGCATGCTTCTGACAAGGCCTTAAGATATGATTATAAGGAAACACCCCTATGAGTGAAACAGACAGTTTATCCCACCCATCTTCTGGCCACTGAGGGCCGCCCAACCTCCCTATTGCTATCCAGACTGAAACACATCCAGCTTGTTACAGATAATCTGATA